CGCCCACCCACCCACACACCCGACAAAAAAATGCAACTCTGGCTTGCCCTTTTTTCTTTTTAATGAATATATGTTCAGTGTCTGACATGTAGGGTGAGTGTCATTGTCTGATATGTGGACATGGTTGTAAGACTCACCGTGAAGTGATTCTATGCATCTGGGTTGTAGCTCATTTCTTTCATCTAGAATTCTGTAGGAGCAAGTCCTTGTTCTTTGTTGGTCTACAATCAAGTTTTGCTCCGCTAACATGTCTTCTACCAACTGTTTGTGTTTAGCAGTCTTGTTCATTTGATTTATGCACATTCCTATGTTATTTTCAGGTGCCATGTCTCCGGGATAATTATGCGTATCTTTTACATGATATGGACACGGGCACTGTCGGAGTTGTTGACCCTTCAGAAGCTATGCCTGTTATAAATGCTCTAAAAAGAAGAAATCAGAACTTGACATACATACTTAACACCCACCACCATTATGATCACACTGGTGGGAATCTGGAACTAAAAGCAAGGTATGGTGCAAAGGTGAGTATTCAATTCTCTGATTTAAAAGTTGAACTCGTTGACAACGTCTCTTTGTTTCTTCATTTTATTCCCGTAGAAGAAGTAATTTTTTTTGTTAGTAATTTTTTGGATATCTCATTTAGATCATACTCTTTAATTAACCAGAAGTCAACGTAAAATATTGAACTCAGACTCAACCTTACTGTGCTTGGGAGCAGCAGGCTGAACATTTCATATGGAGCCATGAATCTATCTAGATATGAAACTTTCATAGGTCTTACTCTTAGGGACCATACTAGAGTCATTTACAACATTCTGTAGTCCTCTAAAGAGGCACCGGTTGTCATTTAATGGATCAGTCCTTCATAAAGATAACTTCATCAAGGGAAAGACTTCTTTTCACTCGGTCTTCATGTTTTACCTTCCTTGTGGAACTCTAAGACAGCCTTAAAGGATCGCGAAAACCTAAATGTTAAAGCAAAGTCATTAAAGATTTTTTAGCCATTTTCTGGTAGGATCTTTTTGCAGATGAATTGTCCTATTCACCTCCATAGACTATTTGCTATACTTGATCATCTAAACTTTACAAACTTGTTGGTTCAGCCTCCCATTCTACAGCATCTTGCATTCCTAAGTAGAGAGTTCAAACAACATTTCATCTGGGATTACTTGACTGGGATTTAAATATGTAGTGAACATGCATTTGTTATATTGATTTTATCATTCAGTCTTAAAGCTGTTGCCTGTTACAAACTTCATCATTTCTTTCACCTTGGTCTACTGAATATAGGTAATTGGTTCTGGCAAAGACAAGGAAAGAATACCTGGCATTGACATAGCTCTTCTAGATGGAGAAACATGGATGTTTGCAGGCCATCAGGTGCTTGTGATGGAAACTCCTGGCCATACAACAGGCAAATATTACGTATTCTCTTAATTTATTGGTTTTTAGTTGGTTATGAAAAAGTGTTGTTCCTAGTGTTCTGAATGGGCATCTTGGCTCCTTATACTTTTCTCATCAGCCGGACCCACTGCATTTAAACTACTACATTTTTTAATCAAGTTTATACACTGCATTTTCA